CGGGTAAGAGCTTCTACCTAGGACCCAGGATGCAGCCACAGAGCAGTGCAGCTTGGCCTCATGATGGGGGTGGTCAGAACTGTGACTTGGGACCCATAGGTGGGGTGCAGAGTTGTCGCAGCTCCCATTCTGTTGATGGGGAGGTGTGGGGGCATTCTCAGAGAGCAGGGCACATTAGAGACTGGGACCCCTGGAGGCCAGTCTCACTGCAGGAACAGCTCCAGCTCCGAGGATGAGACTCAGTGGCAGGGACTTTGGGTGACTGCAGCAGCTGGGTTCAGCTTTGGTGAAGACTGTGGGGTCCTTGGTAGCAAAGTCTGCAGATGTCCACAGTGTGATGAGGTTGCTGGCGTTCTCATGCTTTCCTTTTCCCCATGGGGTAAAATCCCTCCAAGGACATCCCTTTTGGTGACCATTTTGGAGGCTAGGAAGTTGAAGACCAAAGCTCCAGCAGGTTCAGTGTCTAGTGGGGACCTCTTCCTGCTTCATCTCATAGCTGCCCATCTTCTTGCTGTGGCCTCACATAGCAGAAGGGGTGAGGGAGCTCTCTGAGGTCTCTTTTATAAGGGCACTAATCCCTTCATGGGGGCTCCACCCTCATGACCTAATCACTTACCAAAGGCTCCACCTCGATACCACCTCACTGGGGAGTAGGATCTCAACATATGAATTTGGGAAGGGGACACATTCAGTCCATAAAGGTGGTGCTACCTGTCCCACAGAACTTTAAACTGGTTTGAAGGCTTAAAGATCTTTGACTAACAAGATAATGTGCACTTAGGCTGAAAATCCACATAAAGGCTGGTTTGTATTGCTCTCTCTACTCTTACATTCGTATAATACTGGAGTGGTAGTTTCTCTCCTGGACACAAGAATTATTTAGGGACTATATTTAATTCCCTTGAGGATTTTAGTAATGTTTAAGCTTCTGTTATCATTCATAATTTCTATGTATAGTATTTTATAAAAGTCTTGTGTTTATAAAAATGTTACTGAAAGGTGAAAAGCCTTAACATTCACATATTACATCCTTAAGCCAACAGTGCAAGTCTAATGCATAGTCCATGGTATATTTGAAGCATTATTTATCATAAACAACAGAAGCTAAAGTATGTTGTTTGGGGGAAAGGCACTAACTGGGAGGGGCTGGGGGAGTAAATCATGTAGCATAATTTTGGAGATCATGGACCCTGGAATCAGGCAAATGCAAAATTGAACCCCAACTCCTCAAAGCCCTAACAATGTGGCCTATGGCAAATTACTGAATCACTCTGAACCTCAATTTACTTATCTGCAAAATGGGAATAATAAAGGTATCCACCAGGTTGTAAGGGTTGATTGGGATTTTGTGTATATAAAGCTTATGACATAGTGTCATGTACATAACAAGCACACAATAAATGTCATTATATTACTAATAATATTAGCAGTCTCTACTTTATGTGTGTTACTTCACTTAATCCTCCCAGGAACCCTAAGACAGGATATTACTGTCATTTTACAGATAAGGAAACGGGGTCAGGGGGTTCAGCAGTTGTTAATAACTGGGCGAGAAGGGCTGTTCATCTACAAGGTCCAGCAGAAGTGTGCTGTCACATGGGCTTGGGTGTGTAACTAACTGAGGAGGACATAAGAATCCAAGGGTGGTATAACCTAGCCTCTCCAGTTTCCTTTCTCCATCCCTATCATTAGACTTCCATCTTCTAAGGGCCTGGCCCAGAAAATCATGGTTGTGGGCAAGTTCCCAGGGGCCCCCAGTTCCTCCCAGCACAGCGCCGGCCTCCTAGCACCTCTCTCAGGATTACAGGACTCCCAGGACTCGGTCTCTGTGGCCCCCACTAACAGGCCCCCGGCTGGGAACGCATTCTGTTCCTGAGGATTCCTTGTAAATTTAAAGTTGGAAAAGCTTTCTCCAGCGTCTGTCTCCTTTCTGGGGTTTCTTTCTCATCCCCAGGTTTGGAAGGCTGCTTGTCTGTGCCCCCAGGTCCTGTTTGGACCAGACATCTGGGAGAGCGAAGCCCTCAGTCTGGGGACCCAGGCTGAACCCCGGCTCCACCTCCAGTCTCCTACTTAACTGGGAGCACAAACAGCTCCCTCATGTCCCCATCTGTTAAAAGGAGTTATTATGATCGCTGCCCTAACCATCCCCATAAATTAATATAGAGGATGGTGATGAAGATGTTTGGAAAAATTCTAAATCCCCACAGAGGTGGGAGGCCCCACTGCTTCCCTTTATTAGGGCTTCTATTATTTACCTGCCCTTAGCCCTTCCCATCGCCTCCTCCCCCTTCCTGGGCTAATTTCAAGGTCTCAAGAGGATAACACTGTGGTGGAGAAGTCCCATGACAGAGACAGGCTCGGCCTCTCTTTATCTCATTTCTGTATATAAAGCCCCGCACCTGCCCCCAGAGTGGCTGACTGCATTTGTGCAGAGTCTCGCCCCCCTTTTACAGCCCTTTCCAGGAAATCGCACTGGATGGCCCTCCCTCCGCGTCCGTGCCACCGGGAAGGAACTTCAGCTGTTACTAAGTCAAGCCTCCTGGCTTTACAGATTCAGTGGCCAAGGTATCAAAAGTAAAAAATAAGACATTTACTCAGGATGACGTATCAGGTGAGTGGGAGAGCTGGGACCACAACCCAAAGACTGAGGTTTTGCTTTCAGGCATCTTTACCAATTCCCTCTTTTTTTAGGTGAAACTCATTTTCTGACTTTGTTAAGGGTGAGTGGGAGGAGACTCAGGGTTTAATTTCTCTGCCAAAGAACCCAGTCCTTACTGGACAGCCTGACCAGATCTCTAAGACCAACCCTAGGGCATGAAGAACCTACTGGAACTTCAGAGTAGGGAGTGGTCACGGCATAATGAGGGGAGCCTAGAATGCATATGATCCCCCAAGAATGGTGATCTAGGAGTGCCTCCTTGTCAGTGATTACTCTTGTGATCCCTGGATGGACAGTCTGGTGAACAACCAGGATTTAGGAGACTCTTCCTTAACCTTGTCCCTTGTTGATTGAGGGCTGCACAGAAGCTACTAGGGGAGCATATCGTTCTGGCTCATGACTTATTTGTTTTTGATGAATCTATCTTCCGGATGTAGAAAATATGTGGGAATTTTATATAAAGAGCTGTATGTCAGTGTGTGGATTGCCAAAACTACTGCATACCCTTCTAGACAAATCGAGGACTCACCCCTACAGCAGTAACCTTGTGCAGGAACCTTCACTTGACTCTCAGCCTCCTCCAAATCTTACCCATCCCTCAAAGCCTAGCACAAATTCCCCCTTATCCATTAACTAACCCCTTCCTCACCACTCTAGCCCGCAGTGATGCCCTTTTTGTTGGAAAACATCTTTGTCAATCATTCAGTCATCCATTTATTTATGAAATGATGCATAATTAATTTTATGCATATAGTTCCTAAAGTTGAATCAGCCATGAGTCTCATCCTTAAATTGGACTGGAGGAAACACACTAAATCACTAAGTGATTGTCCTAGAAGGCACAGCGGTAAGTGCCATGAAGAATACAGTTACAGTGCGATGGGAACGTTGAAAATGTAAATATCACCTTAAAATGGGCACAGATCAGGGAGGAATTCCTGGAGGAGACAGCATTTGAGCCGAGTCTTAAAGACTTTGACACCGTGGCATTGGAAGGACATTCAATATAGAGAAAACAGCATAAGCAAAGGTAGGAATATAGAAGTTACGGAGTTTGCAATCTGATGACATGGGTTAAAATGGAAAAGAGAAATCAGGGGGCAGCTGAAGACCGTGGCCGTGATCCACCCAAGGTACGCATTTGGACCGGAGCTACCGCAATCTGCAAGGCAAGACTGAGTTCTACAAGGGCACAGCCATCGCGCGGAAGGGAGTGGGTGTTTGAGTCAGAAGAATGGGTCAGAAATAGATTGAGAGAGAACTGCAGAACGACATGGTTTTATGACCCTTCAGGTGCCTTGATGGTGTGTGTAAAGGTTAAGAGCAGGGCTCTGGAGTCAGAATACTTGGGTTAAAACCTTGCCTTCATCTGCTCACAATACGATACGCACATTCTACCAGTTGTATCTGACATTTAATAATATGGTTTTGATGTGTTTCAAATTGGCACAGAGCTCTTTCCTACAGCTGCATTATATTCCTCTGGAAGGATATTCCATAATTAATTCAGTCAGCCCTCTAATAATGAACAGATAAGTTATTTTTGATTATTTGCTGTTACAAACAAATGCTGCAACAGATAAGCTCACACATACATCATTTCTTATGTGTGACTATGTATCTGTTAGATAAATTCCCAGAAACGGAATTACCAGGTAAAAGGGAAAACACATTTGTAATTGTGAAAGATTGCCCATTTCCCTTTTCAACCCTACCTTACAACTACCATGCAAACTCCCCTCATGGTCAACTCTAAGCTGGAAGCATATAGAGAATGGGGCTTTGGGGATGTAGTTCCACTTAGCTAATTTGGCAGAACTGTTAAATTTTAACAGATTTGTCAATTTTGTTTATTTAAAATTTCTCTATATTTTGAGTCATCCTTGTACTTTTAATTATTAAAAGTCTCCAATTTTCCCCCAATAAATTTCTGGCTTAATATTTACATTTAAATCTTTGATCTATTTAGAATTGATTTTTTTCAAAATATATGAGATATGTCTACAATTTGTTTTTCCCAGATAGATATGTTACTGCCCCAATAGCATTTATTGAATAATATATTTCCCCATTCCTTTAAGATACCACTTATATCATATACTAACTTCCTATATCACTTTAGGTCTGTTCCTGGACTTCTCATTTTTTTTAATTTTATAAAATGTTATTTCTCTAGCTTAATACAGGTACAATTGACAAATAAAAGTATAATATATTTAAAGTAAAATGTGATGACATATGTTCCCATTGTGAAAGGATTCCCCTGTACCTGAGAATGAAGTAATGCTGTTAAGGAAAACGTAGTGAGCGAGTGAACAATTGTGTGTGCCTGGGGCATGGGAAAGTCCTCACTTGGAGAGAGACAACTTAGTAGACAGCTCAGCATGTTGAAGGAAGTCTGTTTCTTCTTTTTGAATAAATATATTGAGAGGAATGATTCCTCATCTCTTTGGATATTTCCTTGCAGAAACTAATGCAGCCAGAACCTGGGGCCAATGGAACAGCTGTTACTGAGTTCGTCCTGCTGGGCTTGGTGGAGACACCAGAGCTGAGGCCAGCTGTCTTTGTTCTCTTTCTCCTTGCCTACCTGGTCACAGTTGGGGGCAACCTCAGCATCCTGGCAGCCATCTTGGTGGAACCCAAACTCCACACACCCATGTACTTCTTCCTGGGGAACCTATCAGTGCTGGACATTGGGTGCATCACTGTCACCGTTCCCTCCATGTTGGCTCGTCTCTTGTCCCACAAGCACACAGTTCCCAATGCAGCCTGCCTCACACAGCTTTTCTTTTTCCATCAGCTGGTTGGGGTGGACTGCTTCCTGTTGACAGCCATGGCCTATGACCGATTCCTGGCCATCTGCCGGCCCCTCACCTACAGCACCCACATGGGCCAGACAGTCCAGAGGATACTGGTGGCTGTGTCCTGGGCTTGTGCCTTCAGCAATGCACTGACCCACACTGTAGCCATATCCACACTCCACTTCTGTGGCCCCAATGTCATCAACCACTTCTATTGTGACCTCCCACAGCTCTTCCAGCTCTCCTGCTCCAGCACCCAACTCAATGAGCTGCTGCTCTTTGGTGTGGGCTTCATAATGGCAGGTACCCCCATGGCTCTCATTGTCACCTCCTACGCCCACGTGGCAGCTGCGGTTCTCCGAATTCGCTCGTCAGAAGGCAGGAGGAAGGCCTTCTCCACATGTGGCTCCCATCTCACTGT